CCACCCCTGAAGTGGAATGAAATCACCTCCCTTCGCCCCCGTCCCTTTTTTGGCTGAAATACAGAGTTAGCTTCTTAAAACAACAAACAAACAAACAAACAAACAACCTTGACTTCTTCGGCTTAAACTGGAAACCGTCTGGTTAAACTGGATTCGAGCACTCACGTACACATTTAGCTAATAGGTAGTGGTGTAAAACTTTCTGGTCAAGTTAAGAAAAACGGTAGGAAAATGAAAGGGCAATGAACTGCCATTGCAGTCACTCGTGGCGGCTGTAAAACTGGTGGTCTGGATGTTTTCCACCAAACACCAAAGCTTGAGAGGTTATGGACAGGATTCAGCTACTGACATCCACGAGCTAGCAGATTCCATAAAACAATCGCTCATTTCTAAGGCTGCCCACTGACACAAAAGACTCACGTCATAAAATCTAGCAATCCTGAAGTTTCTGTACGCCTCAAAGACAGCTCAATATTTGTTTAAAAAGTTGCCTAGGCCCAGAGATATCATCAGCGGGTTTCATAAACTTTCAGTGTAATAAATACTCAAAACAGCTCAAATAATTCTTCAGAAGAAACCAGACGCAGGCACGCTCTCCCTCCTGGGAGCACACCTGTGCCTTTCCCTCCCCCCTCTCCTTCCCCCACAGGCGTGCACCTCCTACACTCTAAGGGACCCCAAGAGACTTGCCAGTAGGGGAGCAATGGGCAGCAGCAGCTCGTCCCAGCCTAACCCCCTGAACCTGTCCCCCAGGCCGTCTTTCATCTGACTTCCCACTGAGCTGACAGCAGCCCCGCCCCTGGCTCACTTCTTTCCCTTGACCTTTCTAGGGAGCGAGAGCAGCCCCACCTAGGGCTCTCCCTGGCTTTTTCTATTCTAGGCCCTTCCTTGTTTCACTATCCCAATTTTGATAAACATTGCCAAAACAAAAATTAAAAAAAGAAAAAAGAAACTAGACCCAGGGTAACTGATTTTGTTTTCAGAATCACAACCCCCCACTAAAAAACACACACACACACAAAGGAATTTTTTAAAGAATGCTTTGTTTGGGAGAAAGATACGACAAAAACAAGCCAATGAATCAACTCAATGACAACCGAGGTTAAACCGTTTGTACTTGCTGAGAAAATGTTGACAGAGTAAACAAGGCGTGTGTCCCAGAGCTAAACGTATTGCATAAACAAAGTACAGTTATTCTACCGAGTGCCATCAGCTGGGTTATATCTAGCCCCTATCAAACCAGCCAACTGAAACAGGCGGAAAAATAATTCATTTAACTAGGTGTTCCCTTTAAATTGATAGCAATACACAGTTTTGTTTTTTTGTGTGTTTGCTTTGCTTTGTTTTTATAATACAGGAAGCGCACAATTGCCAGAAAAATCAGTTACTGCTACTGCTTAAAACAACTTAATGAATTGGTTGGACAGCAAGCGAGGTGAATCAGAGAACTCTGTTTTGAGGTTGAAAAACTGTTTCTAAACAACAAAAAATTAGGCTTCCCCTACTCTATATTAAACATTGCTTACCTGTATCTTATTTTAAAAGTTCCCCAATAGTTAATAACTTGCTCCTGTAATTGACATGTAACTGTCAATCATTAATTTCCTGCAAACTACCACTGAGAACACATCACTTCCTCATGAAAATACAGTTACAGTTGTATTTAGAAATTACAATTACAGAAAGCCATGCTACTGACAACTGGTATTTCTACTTTTCTTTAATAAAGATTGAGGCACCCTTCTTTTTAAAACTTTGGCAGCTAAGAAATTTATGGCTACACCTGAAACTCAAATCTATGATCAATTTATTCATCTTAACATTCCACTCCTAGTTTTATTTTCTTTGGTACTGGCTTTCCAATTCTTTTTTTTTAAACCAATATTTCTTGTAGATGTTGTTTTATAAACTGACACAGCACACTTGGGCAAAAGACAGTTCATTTCCTCACTGTTTTTCTCTGGTACTTATAAATCTGAAATACTTAAATTGAGAAACCAGATAAGTAGAGTTCATCAGCATTTCAAATGAGCAGAAATTATTATTCCGAACTTATACAAAGTATACTTTCACACTTTCACCCTTCACACATCCTTGCACTCCTAGAAAGAATTCAGTTTTAAAAATGCAAATCCACTTCTGGGACCTACTGAAAGTATGCACTAGACTCTCTGTAAAATTAAACTGAAAATACAAGCTTCCAGAATTTCAAGGTACGGAAAGGATGCCAATGCATCCAAGTTTTAAAAGTCTTCTTCCTGAGGGGGGGGGGAAGGAAGAGAGGAGGAAGCTGATGCATCAACATTTAAAAGCAAAAACGAAACTTTTTAAGAAAAGAGAGAAAGAAATAACTTGCCACCTGTGAGGCTATCATTTTTTCATCTCCATTTTGAGATTGAGAGCGTCTCATCATTTTCAGCTACCCCATGTCAAATACTCACTCAGAGCTCTTCTGTTTCTCCGCCGCCCTTTCCTCTCCCCCAGCCTGGAGCTGAGGCAGCAGGTCACGCGGAGAAGCAGCCCACAGCAGGAGACAGCACCCTCCACTGGGTGATGAAGGGGGCAGCTTCTACACTGGGGTCTTCCTCGGGCGTTGGCCCAACACCTCCCCTCGCTGGGACATCTTCGCCCAGGCAGGTGACGCCAGATCTCCTACCTTCCCCAAACCGCCCTTTCCCTCAAGAGTGTCCCCTGATACACGGGGCTGCGCAGTCTGTTCCGGGGCACAAGCCGGCGACCAGACACTGCATGCAGATTAGATAAACTACAGGTACACCATGTTAATATTACTCAATTACCTTGGCATCAAACTGAAACAATGACCTAACTCTCCACCTTTACTCCCTGCAATCAAGTCTCTCTTCTACCCTTTGCTCAGGGCGGTATGCGTTTTTATTCAAATGCCAGTTTGTTTGTTTTTAAAAAGAACATTTTCTGAAGGGCTCTAAGTCCAGCTTGACGTTCAAGCTAAACCTACTCTCAAAGCCACCCCAACACCTACTTAGCTGCCACCCAATGGTCTTCGCTCATAGAAGTATTCTGACCGCCCCTTCTTGCACAGCTCATTTGAAACTGCTTCTGACATCCACTGGCACCGTGTCTCTTTCACTGTTTTTCTCTCTTTTTTTTCACAGAAGCAATGTGCGTTCAATGCAAAAACTAAAAAAATAAAAATAATAAAGCCAAAGAGAAACAAAATTATTCTGGAAACCCACCATCCAGAGATAATCACTGATCACATGTTTGTGCATATGTTGGCATTACTATATTTTATATACACACACTCACGTATGTCTAAAACAAAAATAGGCTCACCTTGTATACTGTCTTGCATCCTGCTTTTTGCATTTCAAAAAAATATCCGATTTTTTTCCTCATCGATACCATCCTACAAAGCTAAATTTTTAATGGCTACTTACAATTTACTATTTCTAAAACTCCCGGGAGTTCCTCAAATTCCTTTCTTCTTTTCTACTCTTCCGCCCCACACACTCCACTGTGAGCACCACACACAACAGGCAACGACAGCCTTTCTTCAATCGGCATCACTGAACGCTTTCAGACAACGACGCACTGCTGCATCTGTTTCTCGGAGCCAGGATTTCGAGTGCGTTGTAGGCAACTGTTAGCTGACGGTGGATCAGTAACCCCCTCCGCCCCACAGGCTCTGGGGCAGGGCCACGCTACCACCGCCGCGAGGGCGCGTCTGTCTCCCCCGCAGCCCACCGCACGGAATTCAAAACGATAACAACTCCAAACAAAATTTGAGTCATAAACGCTGTTCTTCCCCAAACGATGACTTCACTGTGTCTTTAAGGATTGCAGAACATTAAGTTATTAAAACGTTTTTCTCTCTTTCAGTGCTCCCTTCCGAACGCTCACACACATGCCTCGATCACCTGGTGAGCTGTGTGTTCCCCGGGACTGAGACAGCAGTGGGTTTCGTTCTACTGAGTAGCCTGGGTCTAAATTCAGACTGCAAAGTCTACTCACAGTTCAAATTCTATGCCTGGGTGAGAAGGCAGAGTCCAGTGAGCACCTCTTCAAAAACAGAGTATTAATCACCGGCTCGAAGCTGAGCTGTTCATGCGGAACCACTGGCGAGTGCTTTATGCTCCGTGTGCAGCCGACGTTTGCTACACTTTCATCGGACGAGCGAGTGACATGACTTGCACTGAGTGATTTCATAGGGGAATTTCATGTGACACACCCAGCAAATCTTCATACGTCAGTTAAGAGAGATGATTTGATTCCCAAAAATTAAATGTCAGGAAGTGTCAACAGGCTAACGATATTGACGGTGGTTAAGAGCCTGGGTTCCCGAGTCAGACTGCTTTGGCTTCAGTTCTACTTTTCACCAGCTGTGGGATCTATGCCTCTGTACCTCAGTTTCCTCGTGAAAAAACATCCTTCATGGAGCTGTTGTGAAGATTCAATGACATAATACATGTACAGTGCTTAGGACAGTGGACTGCACCTTCCATAAACAGTAGCTAATCATCGTCATCATCATTTTTCATTATTATACATTTTTCGTGAAAGATTCAAAACCTAACTTCCCATTTCTTCCTCCCTTACTAAGGAATATACTATTCCACATAATCAAAAAAATATTATACATTGTGCCCTGGCCGGGTGGCTCAGTCGGTTGGAACATCATCCCATACACCAGAAGGTTGCAGGTTCAATCCCGTCAGGGCACATACTTAGGTTGCAGGTTTGATTCCTGGTTGGGGCACAAATGGAAGACAACCAATCAATGTTTGTCTCTCACATTCAAGTCTCTCTCTCCGCGCCTCTCTCTCTCTCTCTCTCTCTCTCTCTCTCTCTCTCTTTCTCTCTCTCTCAAATCAGTAAGCATATGGTCCGGCTGATGATGTTTTTTAATTTAAACATCATTTAATTTAAAAAAATATTATACATTGCTGTACTGAACCCATCCATGACTTATAATTTTCAGATCAACCGTTTTGTCCCAATTTTCTCTAAAAATTAATTGAGTGCTCACTTCAGCAGCACAAAAACTAAAGTGGGAACAATGCAGCGATTAGCACAGTCCCTGCGCAAGGACGACACGCAACTTCGTGAAGATTCCATGTTTTTGTCTTTCCAAACATCAGTAAACATCAGTAAACGCATTCTTTACTAACCTGTGATTGATCAAAATGTTTCTTCTTAACGATAAAGCACTTTTGTCATTAAAAAAATCAATTGAAGTTGAATATTTACATTTGATACAACTGACCCATCTTATAATTAAACCGCCTGCGTGCATAAAGTGTATACACGCACTGAACGGTGCCTGTATATACTGAACCACACAGGTCTTGAGGAAAACATAGCGTTTAAAAAGAAAATGAAAGCCAGAATAGGAAATAGCTCTGACACTGTTGCTAAAGTTAAATATCATATCTGATGTATCTTTTCATTTTAGCAAGATATATAAATAACATCTCTACAACCAGCAAATAAAACAGACTACCTTAAACCACACTGTAAGGTTGATCGTGAACTGAAGCATCTCTAACTCTACCCGACCAGACAGGTATGCATCAGAAAGGTGGAATTCATCATGAATTTGCCTGGGGTTCTTTTGGAACCCTATAATCTAGAAATGCTAGAGGTCAAGAGTTTTCTTTTTTCTACTTAATGAGTACTAGGAAGTTACTATTAAAATTCTTTATTAATTCTTTGTTATCTAAAAGGTAGAAGAAAGTGGCAGATATAATGAGCAAAAGAGCTGGCCAGCCTTTGGACTCTGGGGCAACCTACTAATTCGGCTTTCTTGATCATAGGTGCAGCAGTCTGCTTTAAGTCTCAGGAGAATACCCTGGATGATGATGAAAGAGATTTATTTCCCCACTATATGTCCCTTTGGCCCTATTACTTTCCTATATTATTTACACTTGCCTTACCTGGAATATGAATAGCTTATCCAAATAGCCACTGTCAGCCAGAAAACCAAAAACCAAACAACCAAACACTACTTCTTCAAAGAACTAAAGTGTCATCCATAAATCCTCCAAACTATATAAAAACTTAAACCCAAAGGAAAGCAGAACCACCACCCATTCTATGGAACATGGCTGCTACTTCAAGCAAAAAGAATAGACTCCATTTGTATGTACTTGTCTCATATTATCTTTTTGTTAAACCCTAGGAGATAGCCGTGTCTGTACATTACAGTCTAGGAAACTGAGGCTCCGAGAGGTTGAGTGATATGCCCAGGCTACAAAGTTAGTAAGATAAAGACAAAGGACTTGAATTCACGACTTTCTGACCAAACAACTAATGACAAGGAGGACACTACAGGCGGTTCTCTGTGTTGTGATAACTGCACACCAGTGTCAGTGACCATGGGGGACCAGGAACACAGAACCGAGGTCCTTCCAGTGCTTCCTCCCAACTCCGCTCATGCCAACTCTGGAATCCTGTCAACTGGATTCAAGTTTAGTGTGTTTTTTTTACATAGTTGATTGCTCAAGAATGAAAACAACTCCCTTATGTGTCTCATCCCCGATTCACAGGTAAACTCTCCGCATTATCATCTACTGATTAATAAATGAGCAAATACGACCAAAAGACCCAGAAATGTAACCATATCATAAATGCTCTTTTTATAGGAGTAAGTTCCACAGAAGTATAGAAGAAGAAATGTAGAAGGAAAAGACCACTTGTATCGTTAGCACCCACACCCCAAATGCTCTTAACTTTATAATACCTTACTGCACTTACACATGAAGGTCACCCTTTATTAGTCTAGGAGCTTTTGATACAAAAGTCTGCCTATTCCCCACTTAGTGTTATTCAAAGTGTAGGTATTCACTAAATCCATGTTCAAAGGAATGCACAAAACAATGATGAGCTCAACCTTAAAGAGCAAGTCGGATTTGGAGAGACAGGGAATAACAAAGGGGGAGTGTATTCTAACAACGTGTATGGTGGTGACCAGGCGGGAAACTGCTGGGACAATGAGGACAGGTCTGTGCTGATCCTTGCGGGCAAGCCACCAAACCAGGGAACATCTCGAATTCCTAAGTAGGGGACTCAGGGATTCATTTTCTAAATTAGGCCAATTGTTTTTAAACATTTCCTTTTAACGCAGAGAAACTGCTTGGTTACAAGGACTCTTCTGTGAATCCCGATACATAAAACAGGTGAAAGCAGCACAGGTCAAAGCACCCTGTGTCCACCCACTCAGCTCCCACCTTACCTGACTTGAGAAGACCCAGAAACTCTTCATTGGAGCACAGCTTGAAAATCACTGAGTTAGGAAAAAGTCTGGCCCTGGCTGGTGTGGCTCAGAGGATTGAGCGCCGGCCTGCAAACCAAAAAGTCACCAGTTCAATTCCCAGTCAGGGCACATGTCTGGGTTGCACACCAGGTCCTCAGTAGGGGGTGTGCAAGAGGCATTCACACACTGATGCTTCTCTCCCTCTCTTCCTCCCTCCCTCCCCTTAAAAAAGAAAAGAAAAAAGTCTGGAAAGACAGATACCAAAGTGCTCAGAGCACTGGCCTCTGGAGGAGAATTGGGTCGGCCTACCTTGGTAGGGTAAAGAAAGACCTGAAATACAATTTTCACTTTTTAAATCCTGCATATTTTTATATTATTTGAACTTTTGTTTATCCTGAGCACTTTTAATTTTTTTAATTTAAAAAGAAATAAGAAAACATTGCTCTAAAACAGCATTGTAATAGTTAAATTTCTTCAAGTGGATTGCCAGCCACATTTTAAATGAGTCACTTCCCTATAGCAGGACATTTTCTTGACTACATTACATTGCAATGAAAATGAAAATCTTCTGGCATAATGTTTTCCCATATCTGGAATTTATTTCCTTAGGGTGAATTTATAAAAGTTAGTTTCAGTTTAAGCTCTATGAGGCACAGCTTAAAATAGGACTCTGTAGAACATAAAAATATAAAACTTAATGAGTTTTAAAAGCCATCCTCTATTAGCAAATTTTGATCCTAGCATTCGGGTTTAAGATACATAAAATCTAATTTACAAAACTAATTAGCAAAGTTTCCACATCTCAAAAAAATGCATTAGAAAGAAATTTGATTCAGAAATTGAAATTGCTCTACCTTTCATGAATTTTTCATAACTTCTCTTGCCACTTATCAAAACCATACCCTGAAAGAATTTCTCCTTCACAGATGGGTTTCACGATCTAATTCTGTGAACTCACAGTACTGTGACAGTATAATCATTCTCTGGCAACAAGCTGACATCATTAAATTCTTATTTGTACGTTCTCCGGGGTATACAGATGTTCTATTTTTACTTCTTTTAAGATCAAAATCTAGTTTCTGTTGCCTCTCCATTAATCTCATATAAGTGATACATTTTCATCTAATTTATTCCCTTTGTCCCCAGCCATCTTTATAAAACCAATTTTTGGTGATGGCTCAGAGAATACCTTTCTGTTCAAACAAAATATAAATGACAGCTGGATTGCCTCCTGCCATGACCAGTCTTTGAGTGTTGTGTACTCCTAAGGAGGAGACACTCCAAAATCAGTTTGATGTTTGCCCTGGCTGATGGGGCTCAGTGGGTTGAATGCCAGCCTGTAAACCAAAGGGTCACCGGTTTGATTCCCAGTCAGGGAACATTCCTGGGTTGCGGGCTGGGTCCCCAGTAGGGACTACACAAGAGGCAACCACACATTGATGTTTCTCTCCCTCTCTCCTTCCCTTTCCTTCTCTCTAAAAATAAATAAAATCTTTTTAAAAAAAGTTTGATGTTCTTTTCCTTGTCTTTACTACTGTCTTAATGTAAGAGTACTTTTTGTTAACTTATCTTTTAAACTATTGAATGTGCTTCTGTCACATGATTTCAACTAAAAGGAAAGATTTCCTAATAAAACCTTTTTCTTTTTTCAAAAGCAACATCAAGGTCATGTCGCTGCTATGCAACAGTTCTCCTGTTAAGGGTATTTGTACTCCATGAACAAAGATTTGCTTCGTCTCTACTGGGTGCCAGCTGCTTTGCTGAATACCAGAGAGTCCACGTGAACAATGCAGGGGAAAGGTCTGCTCTCAGAGATCTTTCCGTTCAAAGACACTCAGGCAAACAAGGAATCTATGAAATGGAAGGGTTCAGTACAAGAGAGAGAGGAATGACTCTTTATAAAAAGAGATTGGAACGAATTATGGAATACCTGTAACACTAGACCAAGAAATTTGAGGTTGCTATTTGAAAAACGAGGCATTCAAAGGAATATGTAGAAAATACATATCAGGCTCTGATTACAACTTTTCAATGCCTTGTCATCTCCTCTAAGATAAATCCAAATCTTTAATAAGGTTAACGAAATCCTACGTAATCACATAATCATCCCCACCTGCCCTGTGGTCACACCGGACCTCGGACTCCTCTGCTGCAGGGATTTCTAACTACACAGCGCACCGTCTAGCCAGCGTCTGTGTGTGACCCGCTCAGCTGATTTCACAGCCTGCTGGTAGGTGCCTGGTGCCTGCAGCTTGAAAAATGCTACTTTAATCTCACCCATAGGTGGAACCTAAAAAAAAAAAAAAGTAAAGAAAAATGTTACTTTAGTTTACAAGGCTCTCACACTTCTTGGCCTTTCCACATGTTCTTTTTTGCCTGAAACACTGGCTCAGCCTCACTCTCCCCTGCTACCTGGCTACCTCACGTTCTCCTCTGCGATCTTAGCGTGGACCCTCTTAGATTCATTACTTCCGCCTCCCCTGCAGTCCCAAAGTACTCCACGCTTTCTCACTTTCATATGCTTTCTTGGACTTGGACTTGTCTTTCGAGGCTGCAAACTCCCTGAGAACAAGTTTGCCCACTGATGAATTCCGAGGACCTAGCCTAGCGCCTATTACACATTCGATAGAACATATATTGGAGCAGTAAAACAAGAAAATGGACTTGAACAATCTGTCTTTAACCACACAATGAAATGCTCACCCACTTAAAAACTGCTTAGCTATTTCCAAGGAGAACGCGGTCTTAGTTTTAATTTTATACACAGTAACTACGTTCTGAAGCTAGCCTACAAAACACTACTGCCCGCAGCACAGCTGATGACGGATAGCTGCTTCTTTCTGCCTCTGCACAGACAACAGCACGCAGG